CTCCTGTCACCTGTGAACTGCTATTGCAGAACAGGGGAAAAGCTGCATGTGGTCACAGTGTCTGTGCCCAGGCTGTGGTACATCTGTGAGCAGCTTAGAGAATGGGGAATCATCTTCATACAGTGGGATTCACTGTGCTGGGATAGTCTCTACGATACACTAATTTTCAAAGCCACTTTGGTTTATAGCAGGTGTTATAGAGAGGTTGAAGTCTGTCGTGTCCTCAAATGCTTTTGCTGTTTCTACTTCATACCTGTGCCAGAGGGAAGCCACTTGCTTTTATGAGTGAGGTGCCTGTGTTTGGAAGATGTGGTTAAGCTTAGCAGTACTGGTAGCTGTAGCATAAAACCCAAAGGATGACGCTTGAATGCTCCTCCAACTGTATACTGCTTAGTTGTTCAGTCTGCATGGTATCTAGCTTGTGTTTCTGCGTGTCATACCCTGCTGAGCCTGTTTTGTTAAGGTAAGCCATAAGAAAAATATCCTGAGTACATGCTCTTCTGCCTCTAGGGTGATTGTTTCAGGAGAACATCTCTTTTCAGCTGTTTGCCTTGAGGAAAGTTAACACTTTTGGCTGAATTGAGTATGATAAAGACTTGAACTATTTTTCACATAATATAGGCTTATCTGATACTCACTTTCAGAGGGAGAAAAGTCTTAAAATTCCTGGCAAGCTTTTTTTCTCTCACCACTGTGGTATCATGCACCTTCATGACTGAAGAGTTCTTTCTATGCTCTCCTCTCTGAATGGTTTCAGTAAAAGCAAGCTGAGAATCTACACAAACTGTGGATAAAAAGATGTCTTGTCCTTCAATTTTATACAGTCTTGCACTATTATGCTCAATATTTTGGACTTGGAAGTTCTTAGAGACTAGATGTCACTGAAAGATGTAGAAAGAAATCACTTGTAGGAAGAGTTTGAGAATCAGATTTGTCCATTGCCAGAATGGAGGGTCAACAGAAATAGTCTGACAGACAGATCTGTGTGCCCGATTCTGCTGTAGATTATAAGGATGCTTTGCAAAATCAAACTTGCCCCTCAGCTGAAGACATCTTTTAGTGGAATGCAATGATATAGAGGCATCGCTTTGTTACTGTCAAGGCTTTGTAGGGTTTTGTAGCAGGTTAAATTGGCAACTTGGTAAATGGAAGTCTAATACTTTTAATAGCTGCTTGCTTTTGCTAAAATTCATCTGGTAAAATGAATTTTAATCTACCTTAGCTTCTCATTGTTTATGCAAGATCTATACAATCTGGGCAACTTCTTTCCCCTGCCCTGTTGAAGTCTTGTGATGCTCAGTCTTCTGGATATGTAAGGGGTTTTGGGATATCCATCTTGCCACAAGCCTGTTGCTTAAAGGCTGGTAGGTGAGATAACAAGCTGCTGCTGTAACACTTGCACGTATTTCAGAGATTTAGCTGCTTTAAGTGCAAACTGCAGAAATAAACTCAACGTGCTTAAGTATGACTAAGTAGAAGTAACAAATCTCTGCATCAGAGTACTGTCCCATGCATGTTACTCATGCTGGAACTTGACCTTTGAATATTTATCTAGAAGAGTGTAGCTACATGCGGAGTGACTGATGCTGGCACGTCTTTGCTGCAGGCAGTGTGGTGGTTAAACAACTGGCTGGAGTTAAGCCAAGTGCTTTACTTTCTTGGTCTGTAAGATGCTCACAAACAAGTGCTTGTGCATTCTGAAGGGAGCAAGCAGTGGGTGCACCCTTGTCCATCGTATTTCAGAGGCTTTTAGGGAAATGTGTAATCATTTGTCCAGGGGGTCATAGGGATACTTGCCTTGGTTTTATTTAGTCTTTCCTTTAATGAAGAACACGTCAATGAAACTGTGTGTGCTGTTCCTGCCTATGTGAAAGCAGTGTAAAGGTTTGACTTACTGAAAATCAGTAGTTCGGGTAGCTTCCAGTTGGGTTATTTGAAGGCAGGTTTGGTGAGTTTTTTCCACAAAGAAACCAGCTGTGACCTGAGGAGGGACAGGCTGCAGTAAGTAATACACTCTTGGCAAGCGGTGTGCTTGAAGCCATTTGTCTTCACTTAAATCCCGGCAGTAGTGGTGAGGCTTTGAAGACTCTTCTAATTTCCTCCCTAACAACATCCTGTGGTATGTGCTGCTGCAGCTGCAGCATGTGTTCCACTGGGTGAGTAACTTACAGCTGGAAACTGAACGGTAGGAAAACAAGAGGAAAGGACTGGTGCTTGCAGAGATGCCCGATTTTAATTATTTTTTTTTAATCAGGGTAGTTGCAGTAGTCAGTCACAGCTGCACAGCTTAGATGCTGTAGCTGGAAAATTGCTTTCCTGTTAGCCCTATGGTGTAAGACTTTAGATTTTACTTGGGATTTTTTATTTGGAAATTGCTGTATTGAAGCAGAATCACCAAAACTTTCCAATGCATGCACTTAACCTGAGATCAGAAACAATGTTGATGTCTGAGTCTTTTAGAAAAGAACTGCAGATTCTTATAACTCGTATTTGACAGCTCTCCTCAAAAGCTTCTAGCATAACTCATCTGCAGAGGACTTCTGTGAAAGAAGATAACAAGACAGTCAAGCACTCTCTCGTGTGGGTCATGGCCACTGACCTGAGCTGGTCATAAAGTAAATGACTGGGCTGATGCCAGTTGCTCTTCCTTGTGCTGGGAAGAACTGGGCTCGTAAAAGATAACTAGTGCTACTAGGCTCACACAGATTCTTTGGAAAGCTTTACGGTAGGACAATCAAATCCAAAATGCACTGAGGACTAATTTGCAAGGTTACAGGCATCAGTTGGCAGCTTCTCCAGCCTTTATTGAAGAAGTATATACTTCTGTGAAAATCTATTTTGGGTCTTTTTGGGAACTGCACTTGTGAAAACCTAGTGAAGCTGTACCATGAACTGCTGTGTTGCTTTGACTGTAAGGAGTCTCACACATCTATGAGGGAAGAGAACAGGGAGAAAGAGCATACTGGTGCTCTCGTGTTGCTAAACAAGCCTTAAAGAGTTCTTATTTTTGTAGAAAGTTTTTGGTTTTTTTTCTTGAGGAGTGTGTAGGGGGAAATGGGGAGTTATGGGTATGACACAACAGCTGGCACAGGGAAGAAGGTCCAGCTGTGTGAGTAGGTAGCGTCAGGGCACGGAGGTTTCTGTCACATTCAAGTGGATTATGAGCTTAAGTAATAAATCTGAGTCCCAAGCTGCCTAGTTTTCTGTGAGCAAGGGAGAACATGATCTCTGCTTCATGTGGTCTCAAGAAGTCAAAGGGAATAACTGCAGGAAGCCTTAAAAAACACAGTGGGGAGGGAGTTGCTAAACTCTCAGGATCCAAGGTGGTGTCAGCAGCTTTCAGGCTTCTTTTGGATGCCCTGCTCTGTGTAGCAGAGACCTTAGCTCCTTAACTGGAAGTCCCATGGCACTGCTATTCACAGAATGACAGAATGTCAGGGGTTGGAAGGGACCTCAAAAGATCATCTAGTCCAGCCCCCTGCCAGAACAGGATCACCTACAGTAGATCACACAGGAAGGCGTCCAGACAGGTTTTGAATGTCTCCAAAGAAGGAGACTCCACAACCTCCCTGGGCAGCCTGTGCCAGGGCTCTGTCACCCTAACAGTGAAAAAGTTTTTTCTGATATGTTTATGGAACCTCCTATGTTCCAGCTTGTACCCATTGCCCCTTGTCCTGTCATTGGACATCGCTGAGAAGAGCCTGGCTCCGTCCTCCTGACACTCCTCCTTGACGTATTTATAAACATTTATGAGGTCACCCCTCAGCCTGCTCTTCTCTAAGCTAAAGAGGAATCCCCTAAGCAATCAATCCTTTGTGCTTTCCTGGTGAGAGCTGATGTAATGATCCTTTTTCAAGGCATCAGCTCAGTCTCCTTTTCAGAATGGCCAGGTGCCTGCCCTGCCACCACCATGTGGGCAGCAGAATGTTTCCTGTTAAACCTCTTGCAGCTCTGCTTGCACTAAAAAAAAAAACAAAAAAACCACAAATATAACTAACTCTTTAATGTCTCCCAGTCAATAGCTGTGTTTTCCCCATGTCTGTTTTTTGAGGGCCAGTAACCCAGGAAAAGACAATTTGCCTTATCACCTAGTTCTGCTACGCCCTTGATAAACATAATTGGTAGACTCCACCATCTTACATTGAAAGTGATTTATTATTCATAGAATCATAGAATGGCCTAGACTGGGAGGGACCTTAGAGATCATCTAGACCAATCTTCCTGCCATGGGCAGGGATGCCTCTCAACTGGATCAGGCTACTCAAGGCTCCATCCAACTTGGCCTTGAACACCTCCAGGGAGGGGGCAGCCACAACGTCTCTGGGCAATTTATTCCAAAGTCTTGCCACCCTCAGTGAAGTTTGGCCAGTTCTGACGGCTCTTTTTAAAACCATCCCAGCTCTGTTGAACTCTGCTTGAGAGGCAAAATCACCACATATCGTGCTCTTCGCTTAACCGAGAAAAGCAATTCTGTGTAAAATAGTCCCAACCAGCAAATCTTGGGGCTTTTGGTTTTCTAGAACTTGCTGTGAATTCTGTTGTTTCTGTCACTGGCTTGTACGGTCAAGTGCTTACACAAGTTCACGTGGCTTAACCCAGCAGGCTTCAGTGTTTCAACTGAAACAGATTTACAACACTTTACAGGTTTCAGAGGTCAGTTTGGTTGGCTAGCAACCTGCTGTCCCTATCTCACCGAGGCACAAGGCCTCCCTGTGTTTGGTGAGAAACGTTTGTGTGTGTAATATTTCAGTATAGAGGAATGTCCAGGTTTTGGCTTCTGCTGCTGCTATCAGTGCTGTTTTCTCAGCTTTGAGAGCTTATTAATCCCTCCTCTTGTGTAAGGCTGCAAAGATCAGTGCTGCTAGTTCAGTCATGGCAAAAACAATTTCATGTTTGTTACTGTTTGGTAGCAAGGGGGGATTTGTTATGGGAGCACTTATCTGTTCTCAAATAGTCGTTAACACGGCAGGGATATGCAATTGAACTGCTGCCTCTTTCAGGTACATTCCACCCCTGATCTGGGGAAAGAGTGGACATATCCAGACTGCCCTTTATGGAAAAATGGGGAGAGTGAGATCACCGCACCCCTACGGACATCGCAAGTACCTCACGATGCCAGATGGAGCGACAGCGACCTTCGATCTCTTTGAGCCGCAGTCTGAGCATTGCATCGGAGGTCAGTCAAACAGCTGCTCGCTGCATCTAGCTGCTAACCTTGATTCTGGGCTCTGAGGGATGGATGAGGATGCTGCTGCTTGATTTATCAGCCAGGATAGATGTTAATTCTGTTGATGGAAGGAGCCTGCTATGCGTTTCTAACCTGTGTGTGGAGGCTCTGAGGCTGTCACGCTGTATGTCTTGGACAGCAGGAGTGACCCTGCTAGACTGTTTGTGGCAAGGGGTGCAGAGTTAAGGAGCAGAAGTGTTCCCTAACCTGTGCCTTCAAGTGAGAGGCTGACAAAGAATCGGGCAGTAAGCCTTGTTTCAAGTGCCCTTTGTTGAGGCTGTGGGATCATAGAACAGGGTTTACTTACATGGGATTCTTGTCACCTAGCGTGTATGGAAAAGAAACGAAACTTGATCTCCCCTTAAACAGCTTCTTGGGAGTATTTACTAACAATAGGTGTTTCAAGGTGTGCGTGGAAACAAACTCTATATGCGGAGGGAGTCCAGACATGAAAAGAACTCCATGAAAAAATAGAAAATCTTGGTGAATCCTTACAACATTACGCCTGTACATTTGGAGTGAATGGCAGCTTTCAAACTCGCCGTTGCTACTAGTAACAGCAGCATTTAAAACTGAATTGCCGTGGCTTGACTTCAATTTACCCTTGCAATAGCTGATTTCATTTAAGCCCGTGACTCCCATGTGGCCTTCAGAAAAGGCAGAGTTCTTGGCTGTCAGTGTCGAGGTCCGCGTGGTATGGTGCTGCACTAGAACAGTTACTGTTACCTTTATCACTGAGGAGAAGCTGAGCAGGGCTTTCCTAATGAGGCAAAAATTCAGTGGCTAGAGTTGCTCATGTTGGAGCTTTGCACATAAGAGTCTGATAGCTAATTTGAAGTGCATAGGCTAATCCTGAATGTAATTTCCTCTGCTCCCCTGAATTACAACAATTACTTTCTTAGCTGATGAAATGATATCTTGTTAAACTACTGAACAGTGTCAGCAGATCAAATGTCATTAGATTAGCCACAAAGCAGATGATGGCAAATGTCAGCTGGTCAGAATGTCTGTGCTTAGCAAAGCTAAATTCTGAAGATCTGATACACCCACATCTGGAAGGGAAATAAGGGGGAAATGGTGTAGCCAGCCTGCTTGGTGCATAAATGAGCAGTGGCCTCCAGAGCTTGCCAACACTTTGCCTCCTGACAGCTTGTTGTGAGTGCTGAATGTGTCTCATGTCACAACCATCCTTCAGAGGGAAGAATTTTCTCTTTGCCTCCAGGCCATGCCTGTAGAACTCTTTGAGCAGCTTTCCCTGAAGTTGGAAAACTGTTTGTTTCCTATAACATGAATTACTTTTTTCACATCTGTAGCGCTAGAGCTGCCAGTCTCCTGTCCCATACTGGATTCTTGGCAGACTAGTAGGATTTTTAGCTTGCTTCTGCTAGATGGTTTCCACGGATCCAAAACAGTAAAGTTCTGAACCCTTAATTTGCATGAAGTGACATTTGCTTAACTTCCCTCTTTCTGTGCACAGAGGATGTCACGATGGTAATCTGCCCTGGGATTGCTAACCACAGTGAAAAGCAGTATATCCGCACTTTTGTTGACTACGCGCAAAAAAATGGGTACAGGTGTGCTGTCCTGAATCACTTGGGAGCCTTACCCAATATTGAGCTCACTTCTCCGCGAATGTTCACATACGGTAGGTACTTTATGGCAGCTGGGGACTTGTTTTCAAGCTTGTGGAATTTCTAGGATTTAATCAGCCTCCTTCAGCGTAACCTAACTGCTGTGGCTGAATGAGGATACTAATTTTCTACTGTTTTTTAGGAACTGAACTTGTGAGGAAGGTTAACTGGGTTTTGCTTTTCCTTGTCTCCTCTTCCATCTCTTATATGTGTATCCTAATGAAGGAGGCAGTTTTATGGAAAGACAACTTTTGTGGAAAAAAAATAACTTGTGGCTAGTATGAGCCTGTTCAAAGGATTTTAAAGACACTGAAATGTCAGTTTAGTGGAATCTGAGACAAACCTGGCTCTGAAGGCTAAACGTTACATTTTATGAAGCCTCAGAAGAGGAGTTTCTACCAGAGAGGTAGTTTCATTTCTACTCAGAGGAGTTTCTACCAGCCTTTCCAGAAAGTACTTCTGTCCCAGGAGGGACATGTGAGGAGTTGTCCCTGGATGTAACACAAATGTAAAGGAATGGCAACAGTTCTACTGTAGAGTTACAGAAGTGGTAGCGCTCAACTGCCATGATTTTGGGCTTCCACCTTGAGTGTAAGGAAATCTTTCTTAACATAGAAACTAAAGAGAATAAAGGATTTGGAGCTGTCTTGGGGGTCACTCCAGCTATTCTTAACTGCCCTGGTAGTGAGTAACATGGTCTTTGCAGAATGTGGCCTTGCCAGCAGCCTGATCTGCTTGCTCCTGAGCTTTCTGGAGCCCTCATGTCCCTCTGCTGCAAACGTGTATAGGTACATTATGTCAGTAGTCAGCTGTGGGTTTAGCACACTGTGTTAGGTTTTTTATTTTTTTCTTCAAGATGACTAAGATACTGCAAAGAGTTTGAGATTTTATCTTGAACAGCCAAAATGCCAAGATAGAAATATTGTGCTTTGAGATTCTGCTTTTGGCAGGCAAATAGGCTGTAATGCTTTGTTGCTTGTTTTATAGTTATTAAATCTACTCCTCAGTAGAAAACATTTCAGGCTTAGCAAGTATCTCTATTTGTACTGAGGGCATAGGCCATTAGTGGCTGCAAGCATACCATGTCTTGGGAACTAAGGTTGGCCTCCTTAATGCTTTTTTTTCTTGAGTTTGGAGGTTATTTGTTTTGCCAAAGGTTGAGAGCTTTCTTCCATGGAGCTTTGTTTTTGACCTTAGGGAGTGATTATGTAGAGCATCTTAAGAGTCTTTTGTAGCCTTGGAAAGGGCCAGGAATGCCTAGCGCTTCCTTTGAGTAAGGCAGTAAATCACCTGGCAGAGTTACTTGTTAAGAGGAGTGCCAGCAAGACCACTAGCAGGCTTTACTTTGCCTCCAACCCAAGTAAATATCCTGGTGTCCTAGCTTTTGCTCAATTCTTGACATATTTGTTGAGGAGCAAGTAGCTTAAACTTGAGACTTGCTCAATCCTCTAGCCTTTACGTCAAGCCTGACCTGTTGCTATTCTAGTTTTTGTTTCTTAAGTAGTTGCCAGCTGTCCTCAGATCGTGCAGGTCAAACACGGAAGTATTTTGACTGCTGGCTTCTTTCAGAGGGAACTAGAGCAATGTAGCATTTGTCATTTTGAGGAAAACTGCTCATTAAGAATGCTCACAAAGAAGTGCCCAAGCCCTGCTGAAATGCTCAGCCAGGTGCCTGCTGTTTCACAAAAGTAAGCACAAACGTTAGTGCTCGATCTGCTCCAGAGCTAGCCAAAATCTGAGGCTGTCCAACAAGGGTGCTACAGCTGTGGTGGGAGCACATTGGAGCAGCATTAGGTTGTCACAGGGTAGAATCCCAACTCTTAGGATTTATCTCCTTGGACAATTTCAACAGGATAGAGCTGAGCTTCTGACTCTGGAGAGGAACAAACATCTGGAGCTTTCTGTTGTTCATGTGATGCCTTCTGTGTGGTTTCTGGTTTTAAATCCAATATGAAGGTTAACAAAGTGCATAGACAGTTGATACCAGTGTACTAATGCCATTAGTTTTGCAGGTGTTTCTCTTCATTTTTCATTTTCCCAAACTCAAAGGCAGGGGAAGTAGCTGTAGGTACTCAAGTGTTGCAGGTATAGAGGCTTTCAAGTGTCAGTCTGAGGACCCCAGTACTGCCAGAAGCTGGACCTCTTGGTGCCTGCAGCCTGTGGGATGCAAGTAGGTGTTAGCTGAGAGCAGAACACATTTGTGGAAAGGCACTTGCCTCTTCTCTTGAAGAGGGGATACCCATATGTTTTCTGAGAAGCTGCAGTATCTTAACCTCTTCAGTGACTAAAAGGCTAGCTGCCTTCCCTCTGATTCTAGAGAGCACCTGCTTAGTCTGGCTCTGCCAAAGCCCAAGAGCTCCGTCCTGACAAGCTGACTCTGCATTTCCATCCTCTCCCTGCATCAGCATGGATTTAAGGGTCCATGGCAGCCTTGCTGAAAGGGAAAGAGCAAGCTGCTTTCCAGACACCCTGCTTAAGTTCAGAGATGGCAAACTGCCTCAGGTGTGTGCTGTTCTTAGGTAGTGATGTGAAGCCTGAAATTGTTGGACTCCACTTTTTAAGCTGCTTTAGAAAGGAAGAATTTTGATTGTCAGATTAGCTGTTACTGTGATTTCAAGGAAGTTCATTTTACTTTGGCACTCTGTCAGAACTAAGCATGAGCTAAGGTGCACAGGACTCATAAAACAGATACGTGAACATGTGTGAGTTGAAGCTCTTGAAACCTTGAGGTTATTCAAAAGTCAGAAGGGGTAACAGCTGAATTTGAAGTGCACAAAGCTTGAAGTTGGAATGTAGGTATATTAGAAGATGATTCTTGACTTTATCCTTATTTTTAGGTTGCACCTGGGAATTTGGTGCCATGGTTAATTACATCAAGAAGACCTACCCTCAGACCCAGCTAGTTGTTGTGGGCTTCAGCCTGGGTGGAAACATTGTGTGCAAATACCTGGGAGAGAATCAGGCCAACCAGGAGCGAGTCCTGTGCTGCGTCAGCGTGTGTCAGGGGTACAGTGCATTGAGGTAAGTCTAGAGAAGTCTCTGTGCTGGTTTCTTCTGGGTGTGCAGGAGGGGGCAGATCTCTGGCAGGGTGCATGTGGAAGGGCAGGTTGAAGAATGTGGTGTTGCTCTTGCACCAAACTGGATGCCACTCTCCTGAAGGAGCAGGTTTGCAAGTGGTAGTTTACACTTTATCATCTCTCTTGAGGTATCCCTTGGCTGATAATAACTTTCCTGGTGTCAGCGTGCCCGTTTCACCTGGCAGCTCTTACCTGGAGAGACTGAAGAGAGACACACAGCTCAGTCCATGCTCCCCTCTTAGTATGTGTCATTGAAACAATGCTATGGGCTGATGAGGAGATGGAGAGGCACTTGCAGCCACATTATGCAATTTGAAAGGTGGGGAAGAGAAGGCTTATAGCCCCAAAGTCTGTCCACAACAGCCTCCAGTTCTCCACCTGGAAGCCAAGGCTGTGCCCCTTCAAGAGCTGTTAATGTCTCCACCTAGTGCCAACAGTTCCATTTTCTGATGGAGGATGTGGGTTCAGCACTGCTGCTTGAAAACTGGCGGCTCAACTTTTGTGAAGTAACTTTCCATGTATGCACAGTTAATAAATATAAAACCAGTGTAAGTGGATCAACTACTGCTTTCTGGTTTTGCTGTGTGTATATAAGGATGGCTACTGAGGTGTAACTGACTGTATGGTAATTTAACTGCAATTTTGAGCCCCAGGACTGTTTGAAGGCAAAAGGGCCTGTTGAGACTAGGGCATTTGGGTCAAGACCCTTTGGGCAGATGATAATGATGAAACCATGGCAGCCCTGTGAGAGGCTTCCTATGGAATTTGACCTCCCAGTGTGGTTAAGGTAGCTGGAACTCTCTTGATGCTGATAATGCTTTGCCTGTACTGGGACTGGTTTGATATTCAGCGGTCTGAAGACACCTTTCGTGTGTTAAGCTCTTAGAGGTGAAAGTAAAAAGCTTTTCTGGAAGCATTTAAGATGCGACTAAAAGCTTGATACGTACTTCAGCAGTATTCCAGCATACCCAACCCCTTTTGAGATCAGATGGGACCGCTGCTAAAAGAGTGCATAATCTACTGCTAGGTCCCCATGAGTTCACACCCTTAGAACCTGAACAGATGCTTTCAGGAACAGTTTTTCCTTTTTGTTTTGAATAAAATGTTCTTAGTTGTCTTGGGGTTCTGACGTGGAACACAGAGCATCCTTTTGAAGCCGCCTCCTCAATTGCAGCCATCGCACAGGCTTTGCAAGGATTGCATCTGGCTACGGTTTACTCACTTGGTTTGTCTTCTGCAGTTGTTCGATATTGTATTTCTGGTCGCCAAAATGATGTTGCAAGTAATGCTGCTCCTTAAGCCGATTTCTGTAGTAGTGTGTCATGGTGTGCTGGTGGAATAGCGGGGCAAGGACAACCTGTTTAACAATACTGCACTTGGATATTTGTGTGGAAAACTATTAGCTGGTTACCTGAGCTTAATGCAAGTCTTTAGTGGCGTGTGTGTGAATTACTGAGCTCTTGACTCCACCTGCTGGGTAACCCTCTACTAGCAAATCTCCAGTCACAAAACATCTGCTGTGCATTACTGGGCAATCAGCAGGGAGGCTTTTCAGATCATGTGTCTCCCTGTCTAATATCTACTTGTGCTTTTATAATGCTAATTAGCTGAAGAATCAAGGGAAAGAAACATCAGTAAATATCTACTAAGCACAAAACAGGATGGGGAGGACCTTGTGCTACTGGCTACAGAAGTGGGAGGGAGCAGGTACAAAGCAAAATCAGCTCCCGGTGGAATGGTTAAGCCCTAGGCTTCCTGAGCTTGGTCTGGTAGGTTAAAATAACCGGTATCATCCCTCTGGGTTTACTGAAGGTGGATTAGCCAGGTAGACATGACTGGTCAGTTTACAAATTTTTTTATTTTTTTTTTATTTTTTTTTTTTTAAGTTGTGCAGCCTTTATCCCACTAATAACTTTAGGAAATGAAGGGGAAAAGGAGGTGGTCAGCGAGGTGAATCAGCGATATGAAATACAAAAGCCTTTGCAGAGCTTTAAGCATGAGTCCCATAGGTGGATGTAATCAAGTAGCAGCAGTGCTAGGATCTTCCAGAAGAATGAGGCTCTTAGTTTAATGAATTAACACAGAGTCTGGGGAATTTGTTTCCTGAGGCTAAATGGGGACAAGTCTCCTTATTCCTTAATCTCTGCCTGCACAGGCTTGATTCTGCTTCTTGATCTTGTGGAATGCATCTTCACCATAGCTACAGGCTGTGGGGAGAGTCCTCAGCTTTGAAACCTGTGCAGTCCTCAGGATACCAGAAGCTACCTTTTTTCAGTGCAGCTCTTAATATGAAGAGTGCTACTGCACACCACAGGAACTGCAGGGAATGTAGTAGCTTTAACTTCAAACATCTTGTAATAGCTTAATAGGTTTGCTTGGGAAAATCTTTTGCGAAGGAAGAAATGTGCATCTTCCTGTCTTCCTTCATTCCCCTGTCTTGGCATAAACATGGTAGGTATATTCTGGGTAGACAACAGTATGGAAGTTTTCTTAAAAATTAAAAATTCCATACCCAAGCATAGTTTGTTGCAAGAAAGTATCTTGCTTTTGCTTTGGAGGGGACTTGCAGGTTGTGGCTTGGGAGGTCATGCTAAATCTGCCATAGCTGTCATGGTACGTTAATGTTTAAATAGTAGGAGTGCTTAGGGAGCTGAAACTGCTCCCAGCATTCTTGAGTTGCTCAGTAAATGATAGTGTGTTTCCTCAGTAACAGCAGACCCAGCTAAGAGTAAAGCTCTAACCTGCCCATGACCCTGCATAGCAAAGGAGTGCTGGTATCTGGCAGGGCTTGCAGAAGTCTGGATAACTTTAATTGTTTTAACAACAGATAAGCTGTGAAGTGCTGTTCTGCTTTGAGAATAGGTAGAGACTTCAAGTCAGATGCTGCTTGCAGCTGCAACTAGTATTTATTCCTACAGTTCCTGCCAAAAGCTAAGACAATAAAACATACTGGGAACATCTGCACAAATTATTTCCCCTGCAGAGCTATATACACAATAGACAACAATTTGTTCAGCAACAGGTTTTAGTCCTTTTCTTGGTAGTTCCATTAGGTAAATTACATTCAACTCATGCAAAGAGGTGCTAAAATCTTCTTGTCAGTGTTGCAGATCTTAACTGATGGCTCTAAATGCTCTGATCAAAATAGATAATTGCATTGTGCAGGAGGAGACTGCAGATCTGTTTTCTGATACTACCAAACTTCTTCAAAGGGGCAGTCATTTCCTGGGAAAGGTTAAGCTGTGTCAGAGAAGGTCTGGAAACTTGTTTACATAGCCTCTAGGCTGCAATAAGATGTTAATAATCTGATCTTTCAAGATCTCCATTAACAGCTTTGATTGATCTGCACTGTGGTTGTTTTTTTTTAGGGCACAGGAAACCTTCATGCAGTGGGATCAGTGTAGAAGGTTTTATAACTTCCTCATGGCCGACAACATGAAGAAGATCATCCTTTCTCACAGGTACTGCAGTACATCACTTACACTGATTAGGATTGATTGGGTCAGTTGTTATATGGGATTTGTCATCTTGGCCCTTCAAAATAGGGCTCCTGCAAGATTATGCCCCACTTGCTTGCCTGGTGGTCTTTAGATGAACCAGCAGAGAAGGGGAGCCTGTGTCGATCTCTCGTATACTGTAAAATACAAGGCTTTGTTGGCTTTTTGCCTTCTGAGGAAGCTTTCTTGATGAGTAAACAAGATGCACACAGCAAAACATTGCAATTAGACTTCAAAGTGGAGTTTTCTGCGTCTGTTTCACTTCTAGCCAAAGAATTCCCTATTCAAGGAGCATCTTGTTCTGCCACCTACCTGAGGTAGGACTAATCCTAAAGATCTGCTGTATAGGCCTACTGCTTATCAAAGAAATAGTCAAACTGTAGCTTTGGCTTCTAGCTGTCCCTCTAGAAAGAGTGTTTAGCCAGTAAAATACTTAGTGTTGCTCTTCCTGGAGTGCAAGTGTACTTCTAGGATCCTCTGTGTTGCTCTTGTGATCTGTGGCTCCCACATAACAAAAGAAGATGTGTGTTAAATGGGTGACATGCTCAATGTTATTGTTTCCTCCATCAGAAGTTCTCTGGGTACCTCTTTCTAGAGCAATAAATGTGTAAGTACCTCATCTGTGTATATTTAAAGCTGCCTGACTTGAGGGAAAAGGAGGGGAATGTCTCAAACCCATTCCAATTAATAGCATGTTTCACCTGCAGACTTATGGTTCATTGTTTACACTCCTGTGCAGTATGAAACACTTGTAGAAGGAATTAGGGCAGCTGACATGGAGGATGATCCATGTAATTCTTTCCAGCTTGGCAAATATTTAGACAACTTTAGTTTTAACACATGAAGTTAGGTAAGCCCCCATTGAAAGGTACTTAAATTCATAACCCTGAAAAAGCCAGTGCTGGCTTGAAGGCAAATCTGCTAAGTAAACTTTTTTCATAGTCATTTGTGCTCTAAGGCAACTCCCCCAAACCAAACCTAGCTTCCCTCCTACTCTGCCCTGCAGCTGCCTCTGAAAGGGAAGAAAAAACCCCTTTCCAACTTGTGTCTTTTGTTCTGTTTGTTAGGGGAGCAGTTTGTTCTGGTAAAGAAATGCATCCTCTCCTGAGGGCAATAACTAATGACAACAAGTGTCTGTAGTAAATAGCTTTCTCCTAAGGTAATGCCTCAAGTAATTTCTCCGGTGTAAGCTAACCTAATGTCTGTGCTGGGGAGACTTTAGGCCCAGGTGGTGAAGTAGATGCTGTGCCCAGGACTGCTAGTGCTCTTGCCCAAGCCACCCACAGGTTTGATTTGAAGCCAAAGGACCCTCCCACTAATGTGCAGCCTCTGTTCCAAATACCTTTAGTGCTGTCAGTTCTGGGAAAGTTCTTTTTAGAGGAATTTTTCGGTATAACAGGATAGGGTTTCTGTTATGCTTTGCTGCAAAGGGAGCTGAATAAATAAGCTGTGTTCCTAAGAAACCCTCACATATATGCAGCCCACTTCTAGTAATGTCTTGTCATTCTTGGCAAATTCAGTTGTCCTTGAACAGGTCATGGCTTTGCCCTTGTTGTTATTTGGATGTTTTTCTTGATGTCACTCTTTCAGGCAAGTTCTTTTTGGAGATAACAACATGAAGAAGCCACAAAGCCTGTCAGATGCTGACCTGAGCAAACTCTATACAGCAACATCCCTCATGCAGATTGATGATAACGTTATGAGGTAGGAAGGCTGATTCTCTGATCCTCTGTAGAACTCTGAAAATACCTCCTCTTTCAAATGTTGCTCTTGCATGCCCCTTGCTGTGCCTGTAGGAATCTGCGGAAATACAGTGCCGACAACTTCAGGTTCTTCATTGCCTTCGCACTGAAAAAAACTTAGCAGAAAAAGAATAAAAAAACAGCTTAGTATTGATAGTCACAATTTCAGTAACATCTGAACCTTTAGTACTAGTAACATCTGAACCTGCAGTCTTAAATCAAGTAGTAAGAGGCAAGTTCTGCCTGCAGGCTCTAGCAAAAAAAAACAGTGTAGAATGTGGAAAGCAGCTCAGAATTGCTTTTGAATGTCTTTTAGTCCTGCTTGAATTTTGAAAAAACTTCTCCCCAGAAAACGTTGCTGCCTACTCAATAAACACTAGGGCTGGCTGAGATATACTATAACCTAAATTAAGCTTTCTACTTTATTACTGCCTGTGTCCTTGAAAACAACATAGCGCTCTCTTCAGTGGCAGTGTTCATATCATGGCATGTGCTGTATCGAGCATTGGCACCTTTCCGAAATGAAGCTGTGAAATGTTGGCTGTACAGCTACAAAAAACAAAACCACTTTAGTATAGGTTTACTGAATTGATGAAATTCTAACGATTTGGCAAAGAACTGGAACCACAGTGAATTCTGTGTGGCTTGTAGGAAGGCCTTTTTGGACAGCGTGTTTGAGGTTCTTAAACTGTCGTGGTTTTATGTTTTCACATAAAGATGAGCAAGATCATAAATTTTTCTTTCCACTGTATGTGGTATTACTGAAGTGGGATACTTCTAAAGAAATGTCCTGAAGGCTATTAGATCTCAACTAGTATATTTAACTTGCCCACGCTATCACAATGTTTGAGTAAGCACTGAAAGGCATGTGCTGCCAAAAGTGAATTTTGTAGAGGTGGCGGATAGGGAAAAAGCATTGTCTGTGAAAATGAAGGTATTGTTACTGTCTCTGCATAAATGTCCTCACCTGAAAGTGAGTCACATGATAGCAGATGATAGCCATAATACCCTTCTGCGTTTCAGGAAGTTCCATGGCTACAGTTCCCTGAAGGAGTACTATGAAGAAGAAAGCTGCCTGCATTACTTGCACAGGGTAAGCTCTTTCAGTACGGACTGCTCTTGCACCTTCCTTTTCCTGCTGGAAACTTTGGTTTCTGTTGTCGGTATCTAGACATGGCTGCCTTGGCTGGGATTTTTCAGAAGTAATCAGATGTGGTATATTAGAGTGGGATTTCAGTTTTTGCTACCTGTAATACGGGGGCTAAATGCTCTGGGCTCTTAAGACCTTATGACTTTGACAGGTAGTAGCACCCAAATGATCTAGATAAAGCTGAGTTGCTCTGAGTGTCTGAGGATAGAGTAGGAAACAGGTAGTGACACACAGCCTGCAGTTTCAAGGAAGTGAGACTTGCTGGATACTGTGAAAGAGACTCAGGGTGCTTTCTGGCAGGCAGATGCTTATCAGGCCAAACTTTTGCAGAAGTGAAACTGGAAGATTAATTCCTTCTTGATCTGCTAAGCCGGAGGATGGAGATGCTCCAAGGGAGTGTCCTGGACTTTAACCAAGGTGTCCATAACAGAGCTGGCACTAGCTGCCTGATGTGTAAAGCAATACATAACAAAAAAGGGTGTAGCTATTTGAATTCTGAGAATGGGGAGGATCTGTGACTTGATCTGTACTTGCTCTGATTCACCTCTGCCCCTTTCACGATTGAGCTGGGGAGAAAAAAGTGTTGCAAAGTATTGCATTGGTGATTTTAACTCTCTGCTTTTCTGATGCTTCTGCAGGTACAGGGCAATTCTGAAAGAAGATGTCTTAACTGAGTTAAGCTAAGCTAACTTTATGGTTGGTAGACTGAAATTTAAAAACCAACACCTGACTGTTTTGTTTTGTGGTTTTTTCCCCTTTTCTGCCTGGTTTCTTCATGCAGATCTATGTTCCTCTTCTGTTGGTTAATGCTGCTGATGACCCTCTTGTGCATGAGAGTCTTCTATCAATTCCAAGAGCTCTTTCAGGTATGTTGAAGCAGCCTCCTCCAGCTGTGCATATTTTTGTACCTGCAGTTTCATTATCAGTATCATGATCCGTGATCTCAAAGCAGCTTGACTTCCTTACATTTGTAATCCTGTGGGAGGTATAAAAGCCTCTTTAAGCCACCCGTTGCTGGAACTAACGAGGCTAACCTTGAGCAGGAAAACTTTAAGTCCTTTCAGGCACCTTCTGCTGGTTTGTCTTGATGGCCAGCAGGTTACATTCAGGCTACACTCTCAAATTGAAAAATGCTCCCTCATGTCTTTGTTCCACACTGGGATTTAGTAGAAAGGTGGGTTATTATGGTGACAGTCTTCATCAGGTGCAGATGATCAGCCCACTTTGCTCGTGAAGAGGTTGCAAATGTGTAGCTGTGTTATTTGATACTGAACTAAAACCTCTTCCTTGAAAGGAGTTCTGTGAGCTGTCTGTCTTCAGCTAAGAAAAAAAACAGGCAAATTACTTTTAGAAGCTCAAAAGAGGGAGCTGGGTGTGGCTTTGTCACACAGATCGTGGGTGCACAGGGAGGGAAGCAGGGTTCATTCTTTTCTGCTCACAGCTTTAAACCTGAGCTCCAGTGTACGTGAGTTAAAGATGTTCGTTTGTTGAAGAGTGAGCATTCTTAGGGCAGTGCAGGTACTGCTGTAAGGGCCTGGCCAGCAGCATTTCTTGGGTAACCCTCTTGCACTGTCTGGGATTAGTTCCTGCATACTACTCTGAAGCAGTAAAGTTTTTTGCTTTGGGCTTCAAAATAGACGTGGCCTTTGTCAGTGCGTTTCTGCTTACTGCACGATTCCTCTTTTGGTTCAGATTCTGTTTCAAGGATCAAGTTGATTAATCACAACTTAAGATGGTTGCATTCCCAGCTACAAGATGTTAACCTTCTGGAACTTTCTGCCTCCTTTTTGTTTTACAGAGAAAAGGGAAAATGTCATGCATGTGTTGCCCCTTCATGGAGGCCACCTGGGATTTTTTGAGGGGTCTGTGCTATTCCCGGAACCTCTTACCTGGATGGATAAGCTTGTGGTGCAGTATGCCAATGCCATCTGCCAGTGGGAGAAGACAAAGTCTCACTGCTCGGACACAGAGCAGGCTGTATCTGGCCAGGAGTAATTGTCCCAAAGACTCTGGATCACTTGAGTATATCTCCCCCTCTCTGGGAACATCTTGTTCCCTCACCTGCTGCTTCAGGTTTCCATTCTTCTTGATACCTTATATGGCTGGAGTTTGATCACAATGTTTTTTTACAAAGTGGAGCTAAAGCAGAAGTTGCTGTCTGGTCAGAGCATCTCTGCATATACAGTCACTTGGGTTTGTAATTTACTGCTCTGCTTGAAAAAACAGGTTGCTGACTGACTTGTTACAGGGTTATTGAGCTGAAGACTGCCTTGCTTTAATATAGCAGAAGTTTCAAATGTCAGTCTCTTCACCTGCTGGTTAAAAAACTTGATCTGCAGTGTTTTGTTGAGGTGTAGATGACAGGGTGACTGACTCTGTCCCAGTGCTGGAAAAACCTGTACCAAGCCACAAGTCAGTGAATGGTTCCACCTGTAAGCCACTAAAATTTGGCTTGGAAAAACAGGTAACGTGACTGCAAGTGGAGTTCCAGACTTGCACCATCTCAAGGGAAGCCTTTTGGTTCCTAGGAATGCACTTACGCAAGTGAGTCAGTTTAAAAATACTTGTCCATGCTTCAGCTGTCTGTGGATTGGGGTGACTTCATGCTAAGACTCCTAGCAGAGAAAAGCTGCAGGCTAGTGATACTGGTTAATGCTTCTATCTAAACATGTTCTCACACCAAGACCAGATCAGTTACCTTCTGTCACCTTTGCCTCTTTTTAAATGTAGTAGTTTCTTTAGTACTGGGTTTCTTGTCTGACCCTGGGCTATTTAAAGCTGGCTCTGGCTTCTAAATGGAAACCAGTGATTAAGAATCTGCTTCCTCTCAGCTCCATCTGTTTTTAAGAATATTTCATAGAGAACTATGTACTCTGTTAGGGTTTAATTTGTTGAGGAGGAAGAAGGTATCTATTTAGATTTACTCTCCTTACATCAGGGTAAACCATACCAAAATTCTTCCCCTTAGCTTTCAAAGCATCAGATGATTTTCAGACACATGACTTACAGTTGATTGGGCAATTGGATGTCTCTAGCCCGGTGCAACTAAAATGATATCTTTGCATGGCTAATTACTTCAATATCTACATCAGTGCTGTAGAATTACTGGCTCCAGTAAGACACTGGGCTCTTCCTCACTTGAATTCCTTTTCCACACCCAGAGACACCCTCTTCTAATTTTAATGTATGAAGTGTGAAAGCTGTTAGCAGGAAAGATGCCTACTCACTTGTGCTTTTCCCTCAAGTGGCTGTTATGGTCTGTGCCAAGATGGTTATTAAAGACTCCTATCTTCTGGAAGGAAAGTTGCCCCATGACAATCTGGAAACTTTGTGGTCAAAATATTTTCTTACTGTTTGTTCTGTCGATACTGTGGTCTCATTAATCTGTCCTTAGGATGACTTTATAATGTGTCGGTGAAGTTCTTTTCTTGTCATACTTCCCACATCAATTAGCACTTTATTGCTTCAGCCTTGGTCTGTGTTGCAGGCACTTTAGTTTATAGCTTAAGGGGGAAACAAGCTGCAGGACTTCAGCCTGCTAGAAGAGGGGAGCAAGCCTTGTGGACTGCCCTGTCCCTGAACTGCAGTAAGTTGGACAGATGGGCTTTTGTTTCAATAAAGCAATAATTAACTATTGTAGCAAAGGTGCATTTATCATATCAGGAAATTCTTTTCATTTGCCTTAGGTCAGACACTTTGGCCTGTTAAAATGAACTGTGGATATCTACATGTTGTCTTTGTTAGTAAACCCAGGTGTCCTTTTTTCTTCAAAGAAAAGATGTGATGAAGTAAAGCTGTAGCAAGACTTGGCCATGCTTGTGACTGTTCCTTAAGAACTGTTTTAGGGCGTCAGTTAGCAAGGATATTCTTAGCTGATGGTTATCTTGTCTCTGTTATCCTCTTATTCATACTGCATCTCTACATCACTAAAATCTGTCAAAAGACATTTCAAATTTTTGTTTAAGTAGCTGTTCATGTAATATTCATTGGATACGACTTAAATATCTTCTCACTTCAACAGACATGGGGTGTCAACAACACTTGTACACGAGATACAGTACAAATTTAGGTGTGTAGAGGGATATGGTTCTTATCCCCAGTGGGTTACAACTTTAGAAGTGATTTGACTTTCACAGCATACTACAGCTGTAGCTTACACAGGTCATGTCTGTCTGCTGTGAGGAAATGAAAATTTCCTTAGCTTTGTGTGTCCTTCCTCTGTCCAGCTTTACTGTGCTGAGATGAGTACCAACTGCAGACAGCTCTAGAGGAACAGAAGTTGTCCTTGGTTGTGCATGTGCACAACAAAATATGCACCGATACTACTTTTGAGGTGAAAAGCACAACGTGTGGATACCTGTGATGTCAAACTTGCAGCAGCAACTTAAAGAAATCTTAGGGAAGTGGGAGAGGAGAAAGTTTAAGCTGCAGTGCATGTTTTCTAAAGACCTCCAAAGAAAGGAATTGTGCGTTTAATCTTGCTGCTGGCAGTGACTGGCAACTGATACCAAGTTACAGAATCCCAAGGTGCATGAGGCTTCCACCAATCCTAACCCAAAATACTCTTCTCTCACAAAATAGGGTGATTCTAGTCTTGTGGTGTGGGCAGGTGGTCTCCATTTGCCTGGTGAACTCAACCTTAAATGCAGTCTGAATATTTAAGTCTTCAAGGTGAAGTTGTCTTTCTCATCTATTGCTAAGACACAGGATGTTGAAGTGTGCACATGTAAATCCTTACAGTGTGGTCTGGTAGTGGAGTTCTAGATTACAGCGTGATGAATCTGTCATGTGCTCTGTTTAATGTCAAACTGGGATTAGTCAAAAGCATTAGCAGAGCTATTCCACAGGTTGTCTCATGTGATATACACACACCTCTTCCCCAACACTGGATGTAAGCAGCACTTGAACATAAACCTCAAGGACCCTCAATCAGATAGCAAGTTGCAGAACTATTTCTTTGGTTAGGCTCATCCAACCATCACCTTTGTCTGGAGAGATCTGGAGATTGCAGGTGAGCAGCTGGGACTTTGTTGACTGCAAGGCACTTGCATATTCCACTACATCAGATCTGCCAGCTTTTTTAATTGTCCCCTAGTTGGCTTCTAAATTGAAGGTGTTTTCCCATGGGTCTGACAGTGCTGTAGTGCACTGTAAAGACAGAGACTTGAGCTTCCCTGCAGTCACTTTCGTCAGTGTTTTTCTGCAGTTCCTGTTTATGAAGATAGAGGCTACAAAGACAGGGCATTAAGCAAAGATGTTGGTAACTATTAGCCTCCAGGACTGAATTTAGCCAAGCTACCTGTGTTCTCTCTCACAAGTTCCTAGACCACAGCCCTTTGACACACATGGTGCCTTGCCTTTTTTCTCCTCCTCCCTTGACATCAGCATATCTAAAGACTTCAGTAACAGCTCTGTCAGAGCTTTTGAGGCTTTGCTTTTTAGTAAATGAATTTTCATACACTAGGTTGTGAGATGCCTCTGGCAATGTACACTGTGCAAGTGTGTGCTGACTTAAAGGACCTTTGTGGGCAGCCTACAACTAGCTACAGCCTATTTCAAGGTTTAAAATAGCAATGTATGTAAGCAGTGGATCATTTTCAGCTCTCTGCTCCTCTAGCAGTAGAAACTGAGTCAGAGAAGGAGGGTTTAATTTGCTTAATATATGATTTGTTACCTTAATCCTCAAGTTTTGTGTCTATTAGCTCTCCAGCAGCGTATCTGGAGGTAGATTGCTTAAGTGACTACATCTCAAAGGAAAGAGCAGAAAGTAGCAACTTGAGGGTTTAATTGCCAAACAGTTTAGTCGCCTGGATTGCTTCCAAGTTTTTCTAGAAATACTAGGCTTGTCTGGAGCTTACTGAAATTCATCATAGCCTTTTTCAGGAGACCAGAAAAGGCCCTAGCCCGGTGCTGCACGTATAAGTCATTTGTTGTGAAGAACATCTTGTTTCTGGCTTGAGTCGTGCCCCATGTGTCCTTACTTCTTAGGTGAGTCTGTTGGTTGGGTAGATCCCAGAGCCACAGTGATGTAAAGCAGTGTTTCCTTCATGGCTTCTAGGTGAAAAGCAAACGACTCTTCTTGGTGTGAGGACATTCTGAGTTTTCTCCAAGCCTAGAATGGCCCAGAGCAACACCAGCCCAAGGGAGGGGTGCCTTGTAATTGTACCCCTTGTATTGCTGCGAGCATCTGTTAACACTGGCCTAGACTTTCTCAGCTGTTGGGGGAGCTTGCTCAAAAGTGCCATCAGTGAGTCAAAGCAGTTGCCAGCTTGCCACGCAGTGGTGGAAGAGTTTCTAGGGTTATCCCGAACCATTGCATTCTGAACTCGATATTCTTGTTTTTTCTGATTGATTAATGGACACAAACACTGCAATCCAGGGCAGCATTTATGAGGTCGGCTCTGCTGGTATTGAACAGCCTTGTTTGAATCTGTCTGATAACACTTTCCAAAAGCTCCAACCCCAAAGGCTTTTTTTTTTTCCCCTTGTCACCCAATGACCTTGCCCAGCCCAGGTAGTTTTAGTGCCAGTAAGGAGCTGAATCCCACAGGGTGGCTCTACTCAAAGCCTTTCTGCTTCTGTCCAAAAGACAAGCTTGCATTGTCTATCCCTGGTCATGCAAGAGCTTTGATTAGATACAGAACGTTCTTCTAGTGTCTCCCCTATAGCTCTTCTGGGATGTTGACCCTTCTCATGGGAAGGTCTTTTTTTTAAAACCCAAAGCAGAACAGCCAAACAAAACCCACTTGTGTTTGATACAACTAAACCCTACTGCTTAGCCCAAGTCAACAGCTTTCCAAAGGAGCATATTTTCTCATTGTGTCACTTGACAGCTTGATGATAATTTCCAGTGACAGATCACTAGACTTTCTTCCTGAGAAAGTATAACATCTTCCTCTGAAAACACCAAACTGAAGAGGTGTATGGAGAACTTGGAACAGACCTGTGCCCTTCTTGTTTTGCCTGTGCAGCTGTGTTAGAACAGGCCTAGTGACTTCTAATGTTCATGGTGAGCAGTTTACTACAAAAATGTTTTCAAATTGGCAAAACTACACTCTGGAACCATCTATAAATGCTGC